ACACAAATATATTATCTACCGTATCACGTATTTCCATCAATCTCATTAAACATATATTAAGTAAAAACATCATAATTTCTGCTTTGAAAAAAAAGAATTATTTATCAAAAAATTTATTTAAAAGCTATTCGCCTATTCGATTGGATGAAATAACAAAAATGCATAGTGAAATTTATTAGCACAATGTTAATTTATGGTAATGGTATAAAAAAGTTTTTAGAAATAATTATTGAATTTTAGCCATTTACATGCAAATTGTTGATTTTTTATTTCCTTATTTTGATACTTTACCCAGTGAGTATAAATTTAAGCATTTCCTGATTTCAATGCTGTATGAAGTTAATGATAATTTAATCATTTAAAAAAGAGAAAAACTTAATCGTAATTTTTATCTAATGAATATTTTAGGAACACCGAAATGTGGCGGTGAATTGTGGGCCAATGATGATTATCAAACGATCACAAGCACTAACCTATATGGTAACATTCATTGCGTCTGGAGAATTAGAGTAAGTTTGTAAGAAAAGTTATAAATTTAACTGAAACAAATGAATTGGTTAATAAGTCAATGAATTAATAAGTTATGACAGGAATAATTGACGGAAATCTTTTTTTTTTCATTTATTATATATTATTACCGTGTTAATTGATGATTAATTGATAGATTGAATAGGAAAAATTTACTGATCTGATGACTACTGTAACATTAATATACTACAATAAAAAAAGATCGCTACAGAATTCATTCTTTAAACTTTGTGCTATCTCACCTTTATCATTTCATTCATTCGCTTTCCAATAACTTCTAAAATTTATTAGATTTTTTAAATTTTTGACAATTTTAAACTTATTAAATACTAATTTAAAATCAAATTTTTAACGAAATTCCTACTCTGCAATAATTTATTCATACGATAATAAAATTAATGTGTCGTATTTTATTTTTCAATGTGTCACAGTATTCTTTTCAATTGATATATAACTTACTATTAAATTTACAATTATATCAATTATCGCTTAGATATTATTCAATATTTTCTTTCAGTGATTTTCAATTTTTTTTATAAAAATTTACCTATCAGAATGCTTTGTATTTCAAATTTATTAATAGCATCATGCATTGCAGTCGAAAGCACGAGTGCTCGTATACGTTGATGAATTACAATTGCCTTGCAAAGAAACATGCACAAGCTATTTGGAATTGAAATTCAAAGAAGATATGATTCCAACTGGTAAATTTAACTTAATCATTAAATATATTAAGTAATAGGAATTCTCAATTATTCTTGCCACTTCAATTTATCCTACAGTTATCTCATATCACCTCAATTTACTCTACAAAAAAAAAGAAAATTAAAAACCTTTTTTTTGGAAATCAACGTCGATTATGTTTAAAATGTCTCAAAACCATAATTTTTTTAAAGAAAAAGATTTTCAGTATAAATTCAACATCTTTTAAATTATCATTCAAAATTGACAGAGTTGCAAGAGAGAATATAGCAAAGGAAGAAAAGTTTAAATAATAAATGTTTGATATGATGAATAATAGGTAATTAAGGATTTTGTATAATAATAAATGTTTGGTGAAACGAATAATAAGTAGTTAAGGATCACGACATTGTTGTGGGCCACCAAATGTCTGGATAGCAAGTGAAAAGGATGCCATCATTATCATCTATTCCGTAAATATCCTCATCAATGGCTCCGACACGCAGGGATTTAAGTTGCGCTATAAGCTATGCAAGTTTTAAATTCGAAATAAAAAAATAATGAAGATAAAACTAATGAAAAAATAATAGTAATATTGAAGAGAAATGAATAGCAAAAGTAATAAGTACGTGAAAATAACAGTTATCATATGTATCCTGCGCAATTGTCCGAATTCAGTGAAGTGGAATTTAATTATACACGCACAATTTTTTTATACGTGAAAATTTGGAAATCTATCAAACACTTATTAATACTTTCGCAGGCTAAGGACTTCAAAAAAAGAATGAAGTGGAAAACGTTTGATTTATTCATACATCGTACGATACGTCATCACGTTGACGCATGGCTTTTAGCGTATGGCGTATAAGAGGCCACTTAATAATGAACAAAATGAAGAATTATGGCGAAAGTTATTTGTAAGACGTAAAAAAATGAAGAAAAAGAAAAGAAATGCAAAAAAAGGGTACGGTTACTCGCCGCATGTTGTAAGATCGATAATTAAGTAAAAAGAAGTATTGTGACCGATAAATGTTTCAGATGATTTCAACATTCCAACATCCAAGGGTATGACGTATAAGAATTCAGTAAGTTTGCAGTAGATCGTATTGTTCACAAAATATTTAAAATAAATACTGATTTTTGAAAAATTATGACTGAGTGCAAATTTCAAACTGGAGAAAAGAATTGAATGAAAATTATTTTAGATTACGGAATAACTCAGAAAAGATTATCACAATTTTTGAGAAAAATCTCTGAAAATTGCAGTGTCATCTGTTAACAATTTTAGGCCTTAAATTGCACTGAATAAATGATTTCTAAATTTCCAAAAAAAAATTAATAAAATGAAATTGACAAGTCTGTTCCAATGCCACGACCGTTACCATCAATGACAACAACAACAACAACAACAACAACAACAACAAC